CTTGTTAGAGGGTTTGGGGAAAACTGGAGGTGGGCCCAGAGGAGGAGGTGCAGGAGATGAAGGCAAAGCCTGAGGAGGGAGGGCATGAGCAAGCAGAGAAGAGACAGATGGATGAGCAGAGGGAGCCATAGGAGGGTGGAAGGAGCCAGCAGGGCAGAGGAAGCGCGAAGGGCACTGAGCTGGTGGGGGCAGTGGCAGGCCTGTTTCAGGGCCTGAGCTTCTGCTCTGAGGGAGCTGAGAGTCGTGATGGATTCGGAGGAGAAGGACAGGATGTGACTGGAGGTTCTGTGAGGACAGAAGCAGCCAGTGGGACATGTGGCCGGCATGCACGAATACAGCTCTCTTCTCTTCTTTTAGGTCTGAGAAGGGGACTCAAACGCGGTACCTGAGGTTTTGCTCATTGGCAAGTGCTCTACCAACTGAACCAGGTCCCCAACCCTGACATAGCTCCTGGGAGCAGAACAGGGCTCAGGTAAGAGACTTCCACATGCCCTGGTGGCAGATGCTTATTGGCTGATTGATCCATTGATGGATTGATTGCTGAGTGAGACGGAGGCCAGGGGAGGGCTCTACCACTGAGCCACATCCCAGCCCCGGATGCTGTTCTACTGCCTTCTAAACCACAGCCAACACTGTGTTCCATTGAGGGCCTGATGCCAAGGGTCAGAGCAGCACAGGGTTCCAGCCTCTAGCCTGTTTGTGGTGGGGGCTCCATCCTGGCCTTAGGGGACAGCAGTGTCCCTGAACTCTACCCACTTGGTGCCAAGAGCACCCCTTCCACTCCCCTCCTAGATGTGTGCAAACACTGCCAATGTCTGTTTAGGACCACTGGACTGGCAGAGCAAAGAACAAAGACGTATGTACGGTATTCTTTTTCTTTCTTTCTTTTTTTTTTTTTTTTTTGTCGTTTTGTCGGTCATGGGGCTTGAACTCTGGGCTTGGGTGCTATCCCTCCCTCAGCTCTTCAGCTCAAGGTGAGTGCTCTACCACTTGAGCCACAGCGCCACTTCCGGTTCATTGGAGATAAGAATTTCAGGGACTTTCCTGCCCAGGCTAGCTTTGAACTGCGATCCTCATTATCTCAGCCTCCTGAGTTAGCTAGGATTACAGGCGTGAGCCACCGGTGCCCAGCGTATATGGTATCTTTTAAGCAAGTCAGAAAAAAAATTATAAAAAGCATTTTCTGGAATTACTAAATTTTCCTCTTCGTTGTGTTCTTTGTTTGATCCCAGTGTCCCTCACTCCATCTTCCCTCTCTCCCCACCAAGGCTGTGGCCATCTGCGTGCAAGGGCACAGCTGGTCCATCCACCCCTTGCCCTTTGCCCCTCCTGCCATTTGCCTAATGCAGTTCTTCCTACAAAGTCAAGCAGCATGCATCCGTGTGTGTGTGTGTGTGTGTGTGTGTGTGTGTGTGTGTGTGTGTGTATCACCATTCATTCCGTCAGCTCCACACTTGAAGGGAAGCCTATTTGTTATTGTGCCCAAAATGAGTCTCAAGTCTAATTGGCCCAAAAGGAACCGAACCAAGTAAGATATTCTTTGACGGGTGTCCTGCTTTGCTTCAATCTCATGCACTCTGCCTAGTGGCGGGAACGCCTGTGGCTCACAGAGGCAGATAAGTCCAGCTCAGGGCTGCAGCCAGCTCACAGGCTATCTGGGGTGCAGCTTGCTCAAGCTGCTCCTGCTTCGGCTTTCTGGCCCCCGGCCAATGCTTGCAGAGCAGATTCAGGGAGGGCAGGCCAGGGCTGGCTCCTGGGGAAGAGAGCCCGGCCAGCCCTTCCTCCCCCTGCAGGCCAGCCTGATTGCTGGGACACTGCCTGGCTTCCTCCAGCTTGATGTGGCCCAGTGCATTCTCTCCATCCCTTGGGAATCTCAAGACAGACACGTTTTAATCTATTTTTAATCTATTTTGATTAGCTCATCGCTAGTTCCTATCACCAAGGAAGCTACTTGTTTAGGCCTGCTTTGCCATCCTGAGGCGAGTGGTTAGCCGTTTGCTGTTGTTGTTTTGTTTTCCCTTTCTCTTTCATTTACACCAGATTCTTACTCTAGCACAATGCCCATTTGGGACCAGGTGATTCTTAATTGTGTGAGGGGGCATCCTGAGCGCTGTAGGATGTTTTACAGCACTGGTATTCTTCCACCCACTAGCTACTAGGAGTTACCTGTGCCGATTCGGGTTTTATACTTTGCCACAGGGATGAGTCTGGGATGAAACTGCCCTTTGCTGAGAACCACTGATCTCAAGAATATGGAGGGCCGGGCGCTGGTGGCTCACGCCTGTAATCCTAGCTACTCAGGAGGCTGAGATCTGAGGATCGCGGTTCAAAGCCAGCCCGGGCAGGAGACACCGTGAGACTCCTATCTCCAATAAACCGCCAGAAAACCAGAAGTGGCGCTGTAGCTCAAGTGGTAGAGCGCTCGCCTTTAGCTGAAGAGCTGAGGGACAGCACCCAGGCCCAGAGTTCAAGCCCCACGACTGACAAAAAAAAAAAAAAAGAATATGGAGGCTTCTTTCAGAGATGGCTGTGTCCTTGTTATCTCCCAGAGGCTTGTGGGAGCGAGCTGCCTGGGGGACCCCATCAGTAAGGAAGGGCAGGGGACTCCTACCTGCCTCCTAGCTCCAATGTTCAGAACTTGGCCCACCTCTGGTGTCTGGACTCCCTGAGCTAACAGAAAGGAAGCAAGGGCCTGGCAGTCCTCATTTGGAGAATTTAGACTCTCGAGTGTGTTTGCTGTGTTTGGTTTAGCTTTGTGTTTGTGTTCTTTAGAGGCAGGGAATGTTCAGGCTTTAGGCGCAGAGAAAGACCCCTTGAAACTGGGCGGGAAATCTGATCTCTGACTTGCCAGCTGGGTGACCTTGGGCAGATCCCTCCACCTCTCTGAGCCCAGTTCAAGGCCCTTAACAATGCTCTTTGCCCGGATGAACTTTTGGTCTAGGGCCAGCACTGATTCAGAAGCTGCATAGTTTCCGCTTTTGGAAGGGCTAGAGAGTGGATCTCTCAGTTGAGGCCTACTACCTCTGGTTTTCTGTCTTTCTAGCCTATCTGCCATATTCCCTGAAGCCCTGGATAAACCTGCCCGCAGGCTTCCTCTACAGTCTGAGTCCTTCCCATGATTCCTTCAGTCATCATACCTTTGTCTCTGTCTCTAGCTGAGTTGTGTTTTCCAGATAACCTCAGACCTACCCAAATGCCAGCAGTATTCCTCACTGGGAGTTGATCTGCCAGAATGAGCTGGCAGCTTCCTGCTCTTTGCCCCAGAGAACATTTCAAGTGATCAGAAAGACAAGGAGGGAGGGAGGGAGGGAGGGAGAAAAGGAGAGAGAAGGGGGAGATAGAGGGAGGGAGAGGAGAGGGGAGGGAGGATGCTGCAGCTGCTTATGCAACAAGCTTTAATCCCTGGGTAAAATCCACCACGCGTCTGTCCCTGTGGCGTGTTCCATTTCCTCATTAGGTTATGGAGTTAGGTGTACAGAGATTTGCCATCAACCCCACAGGCCTATTTGTTCTTCCCAAAGCCACACCTCACAAACCAGCAGGGTTCCATATGGGAGGTGGTAGAGAGGCTGCCCACACAGCTAAGGGGGGAGGGGGGGGAAGGAGACCAGCGCTTGATTAGCTTAGGCCTGTACCTCAGGGACCCCTATTTGGTCCCAGTACAGCGTTCCACCTCTGGGAAGAGCCAGCCACTCCCTTTGGCTAGGCTTGTTGTCCTTGGTGCTGGATCTTTATCAGGCCTCGTGGCCTGGGCAGCCTAAAGCAACAACAAAGGCCCTTCCCTCTGCAATCGCCATCACCGCAGCCCTTTCCCGGCAGTGTGGTTAGTCTGTTTGGAGTCCCTGTTCCATCCTGAGCCTGTTTGATGTTGAGATTTCCAGCCAGGGAAAATTTACAGACGCGCGGTGGGCATCTGTTGTCCTGGCTGTGTGGGGGAGGGCAGGGAGAGAGAGTGATCAGCAATTGTTTTCTTTTTGTGGACACGGTAGGGGACCAGAGGCCCTGCCAGTCCTAATTCCAGGGGAAGAGGGGGATGCTTTATTGCTCCCTAGTTTAACCTCCTGGCCCAAGGCTGGAACTCAGGAACTTCCTCTGGCCCCTAAAGAAAGGTGTTTATTTAGCTTCCGTTGTTCTGGCTTTTTTTTTCCCTTTCCTTTTCTTCTTTTCTTTCTTTTTTGAAAAACTTGCTAATTAAGATAGTGGGGTGAGGGGAGGGAAAGTGGCAGAAGAAAGCAAGCTAGGACATTTTAAGATCCTGTTGGATTTGCCTTTTCTACAAAGGCAGCTTTAGGAAGAAACAGACATTAGTAGCCTCACACTACGACTGAAACGGGTAGAATTATAAGCAGCTCTAAAAAAAACTAGTTAATATTTTACTGGGGAGCAGAGCCAGAGATGGGGGGGAGTGGAAGGGGAGAGCCAAGTACAGGGCTGTGTGTGAAATCACAGCTCCAATCTGCCTTAGGGGATGAGAAGCTGCTCTCTGTGGAAATAAAATCGAAGCCAGAACCCTTGGGGAGCTCATGGGACTTGTCTGCCCACGGAGCAGGGCCCAGCTCCCCAGACACTCACATACAGAGCCAATTGTGGCAGGAAGGGCTAACCTGCGGGTGTGTAGGCCTGATTATAATGGGGGTTCTTGTTTACCAGCCGGGTTTGACTTCTTTCTCTCTCCCTCTGGATTAAAATGGCTTCTCAGACAGAGAGGCACTGCCTGTGTGTGCCCTGGATTCAGAAGGTACACGCCTCCTTGGGAAGAGACAGCAGCTCTCTCTCTCCTCTCTCTCTCTCTCTCTGCATCTGCTGAGAGAGCTACAGTTGGTATTTTTCCACAGGCCTTTTCTGCCATCTCAGGGCCTAGATTTTCCCAGCCAGGCCCAGAGTCCGAGAGAGGGTTAACAGGCAGGAAGCTGAAGGCATCGCAGACTAATACGGAAGTCAGATTTTTTGTTTAACTGACAGGTTTAGCAGGCCTGGGCCGTGGGGGAGGGGGCAGGAGGGGAAGGGTTTGTAGATGGAGGCCTGTGGCCTGCTAGGAACGCCTTTGGCTTTTCGTAGGGTAAGCTCAGAGATGGGGGTGGGAGCGGGGGCTTTGGCATCCTGGCAGAGAGGCAGAGCCCATTTTTATTCTTCCTTGAGCACTGAGGGAGGGGAGGAGGGCAAACGGCTCTCTGGCCTGCTTTTTCCAGGAGGCCTTTTGACAATGACTATGCAAACTTGACTACTCTTCCTCTCCTACCCCACGGCAGCCTCCTCAGTCCTGGGAAGCCAGGCCACCAGCTTGCTGCTTTCTTGGGGGGCTCCCCTTCACCTGGGCTGCCTGCTTTTTCCCAGTTCCACGAAGGCCTGCCCCCAGCCCCTCTCCTCCAGCCTCTTCGGCTGTTTTCTCTGCCAGTTCCTACCCCTCTACTCCATCTGCCCCCCTTGGAAGCCCACTCTCCCGGATGGTTCTAGAAAGAAGCCAGCTTTTCTCTTTACAGGAAGGCCGCTGCCGTGAAGGGCAGATGAGGCCGAGCCCTTCCTGCCACCCTAAAAGCTCCCATCCCCCAGGCATCCGGGCCTGAACTTCCCAGGAGCAGGTCAGGCTGGCTGCCCTGGCTTGCCAGTGCCAGGATATCTAGCCAGAGTGTGGGTGCAGTGCGTGCGGGGGCCCCTGTCCCAGGTTTTTCTTGCTGCAGAAGGCCTAGCTTAGCCTGTCTTTTTCTATGCACAGGATGGCTCTTGCTCACCGAGCCTTACAAAGATAATCGCTCAGGAAGTGTTTCAGCCAATCCGGAGCAGCTTTACACTCCGATTTGCCGGATCAGCCAATCGGGGATGAGCTTTTATTAGGCGGCCAGATCATCAGCCGAAGTGCCAAACCCTTTTTCTGTGAGAACTGGGAGCCTGTCCTCCATGTTTTATAAGTATTGACATTACACAGTGTTAGCAATGCATCCACAGAGGTAAGCTCGGCTTTTTAACCATCTTTTCCCCCCTCCCTCTGAGACATCGAGTTGTGGGCTAGCAGTGTGATTTCTCTGTGGCTGGCCGTGCTACACATTCACCCACAGAGCACTTAGTTAGGTTAACTTGGAACTGCTTAGAGAGAAAAAAAAATTTTTTTTTTTGGCTTTCTTGGTCACATGGCTAAAGTAGCCATTAGCCATAGCTTGATTCTGATTCTACAAACTAGTCAGGGCCTGGTACACCTTCTTCTCTGCCACCAGGATATGGTGTTTCTGGAATAATTTGAAGCTAGATCCTGGTATGCCAAAAGAGAAGCTCTTTTTTTTTTCTTTTCCTTTTTTTTTTTTTTTTGGTTTCCTCCTCCCCCCTTCCTGTCTGTTTCTCTCTGTCCCTCTCTCTCTTCTCTCCTCTCTGCTCTCTCCTCTCAGCAGTTTTTCCCCCTCACCATTGTTTTCTCCTGTGTCACATGCCTGCTGGGGGAGGAAATGGAAGGTAAGCAAGCAAGCTCCTTCAAGGAGTCCTCATGGTAGAGAGCAGGGCAGGCAAGTTTGGGTCTCCCAAAGAGGTTCTGGGAAGGCTGGACAAAGTTCTAACCAGAGAGGACGTGTGTGTTTGGAATAGAACCCAGCCCTCAGCAGAGCTGAAGGAGCTAGGCTGGCTCCTGGGCCTAGGTGGGTGGTGGTGCGTGGTCATGTCTTTCTCTTCCTCCTCTGCTCAGCTTCGCACTTGAAACTACATTGTTTAGCCCTTTTTCCTGACTTAGCTTCATACAGAGTGTTCTGCAAATCAAGCCTACAGCCAGCAAGTGTTTCTCAAACTGTTTTCTAGAAGCTGGAGGGAGTTTTTAGAATAAGGATGAGGATTGGGGCTGGGAGAGGTTGGTGTGTGGGGAGAAATCTTGGATAAGATCCTGCCCCCCCCCCCAAAAAAAAAAGCTTAGAGAAGTGACTAGCTAAGCTTTCTACTGTTGCATGAATTTCAATGAACTAATATGTATCTTTCACTCCTATTTTCATTCTTTTTACCCTTTTCTTTTTAAAAACTATACATTGTATCCTTTGCCCTGCTGAGTGGCAGCCTGCAGGGATAATAAAATCATGCCTGAGGCTCATGACAGCTTTCCATGTACAGTTGTGGGGTTGTGTTGTTGTGGTAGTGTGTGTTTTAAATAATGCCATGTAACTGTTTCAAAAAAAAAATTTCCTTTTTTGATCAAGTCCCAAATCTGCCAGCCTGTTCTCTCTTCCTAACTGGAAAAATGAGATGGTTGCTAGAACATTTGTTGGGTAAGTAAAAGCAATCCATTTCCTCTGACCATGTAGCCAGAGTTTTGTGTACATTTGGGGTCTGTAATAAGGGGGAGCTTTTGGGTGTGGGGGAGAACTTCATTAACTGGAAACAAAACTAAGGGCTTTTAAAGTCTTTTGAGTTGAAGTGACTGAATCCACTGTTTTTCTGATACCTGCAGATTTCACTTCCTGTTTCCCTGAGCCAGGGGGAAATGTGCTGTTCACTGTGACCTTGAGTTGGGTTTGTTTGGGTCTTACAACTCTGGGCTGGTGATCTGCTTGTAAAAATGAATGAAGCTAGCTTACTTTTTCCAGTGTTGTCCTACGAACTTGGGGTTGGGGTGGGTGGAGGGCAGCAGCTGGTGGTGGCCTGTGCATGGGGTTGGAGTGTAATGTGTTTCTGTAGGTTTTAAGCTGTCTGCAGAGTGCAAAATCCCACCTCAAATCCAAGCTGAACCACCAGACTTCTGCTTGGTTTGGGAGTCACTGCCCCTCAGAGGCAGCAGCCATGTTTCCCAAGCCTGCCCCTACCATTCTTCTCTGCATACTCGCTTTACTTTTTTAAGGCTTTAATTCTCACCTTTCACCCCTCTCCCTCCCCAATCTCTTGAAAGCCGTGGCTAGATTTTTTTTTTAAAGAGAGAATAAAAGTGGACTTTTTTCTTCTTAGTACTTGCCTCTAGGATTTCCCTGGAAGTTCTCTTACCTGAATTTGTAGCTTGGAGACCAAGGTCACTATAAATGTTAGAAATATATTCAGTTGGTGTGGCATTGAAACTTTATGGAGTCAGATTGGTTTTTTTTTTTTTCTTCTGTTGGATTACTACTCAGCAATTCAACTTTTGACACCGATTGGCCAAAGGCTCATTTAATACAGAGAAATGCACCAAACCAGAAGCGGAGAAGGCTGTGTCAGGTGGGCTCCGATTAGTACCACACACAACTTCACACATTTTGTAGTTCTCTTTGTTCTCCTCTTGCTGTAGATGAAAATCACACATTGAGGTTCTTGGAGCTGCCTCTGGAGCAGTATCTGATCACAAGACTCCTGGTTTGAGGCCTTGAGCGTTTGCATAATACCGTGTTTGTGAAGGGCAAAGCATTTGTCCTCTAAAAGCTTGCATTAAAATGGCTACCCACAGATTTGGGAATCGAGAAATGTGGAACTCCAGCAACTCCCCAGCTCTTGCATCAAGCTGGCTACTTTTTCTTCTGACATTGTGACACCCCTCCTCCCCCCCACTCCCCAGCACAGGCTGGTTTAAAAGTTAATTGCTTTTCCAAGTAGAAGTCTTTCCCCTGTTACTGAAAGGGAAGAGAAATACATTGTAACAGGAATATTTAGGACAGAGAGCAGCCTGGTAGTGTGAGTTCCTCTCTGCTCATCTTGAACCTTAAGCGCTTGGAGGAAAGGTTAAAGATGGAGAATTTTGCAGTGGCTTCTCTGAGAACAGCTTTTCTGGAAATTTCGACTCTATCTGTTCCTTTTGGAGAAAACAGGTTACCAAGCCCTCACAGCCCTCTCCCTCCCTTCTCCCCCCCCACATTCCATTCCCTGGGCACCTCCCCTCCCCCTTCTCTTTCTCTCTGAGGTAGAGCCCAGTGGCCTGACTGCCACATTTGTAAATTGCAGAGGGAGGAACTGAATGGTGGCTTTTTCCCTTTTCCTTCTGCCTCCCTGGCCCTCAAGAAGCAGGCAGACACTGGAGCTTTGAGGCCTTCTTCTTCCTCCCTACCCCCCTCTTCAAGGCGGATCACCCCCCCCCCCCAAGCCTGGCGCACTTTTTGCCCTCCTGTGGGGGAGGGGAGGAGCATCTGCTTTTATTAGCGCCAGAAAAATGGTCAGTGTGCAGTCTGTAACTGGGAATTAATGATGTATAATCACTCTGTGAACTTTCTTCCTGAGTTTTTTCTAATTGCTGGGCCCACTGGAGCCCAGTCCAGTTACTTTTATAATTGATGGCCCAGAGATCTGAGTCAGAGAGAGAGAGAGAGAGAGACAATGTACCCTAGCCACCCTCCCCCTTATAAATTAGGGATGAAAACAATAGCCCGGGCTCCCCTCTTTTCTAGTAATCCTTTTCCTTTTTAACAAAACCTTTCCTCTTTTCTTTCCCCTGGAAAGCCAATAAGGACAACAGCATTGGTCTTATAGGAGGAGGGTGGGGGACTTTTTTTTTAAAGGAGGCTAGGTGACCGTCCCCTAGAGCCCCCTGAAAGCAAAGGGGAGGTTTATGGGCCATCTTCCCCACTTCAGATGTGTTTCTTTTGACTTCTTTCCTCTTCCTCTGGCAGAAGCCACAGAACATTTGTCAGCCCTAGATCTGCTTTGCCCTGGGGGTTGAACCCGAAAGATAGATACATTCCAGGGGCCCTAGCAGAGATAGATACATTCCAGGGGCCCTAACCGCCCACGGCCAGATGTAAACAGCAGTGAGAGTCCTGGGGTTGGCCTTAAAATGCAAAACCTGAAGGAGGATTCACCCTTGGCCTCCGGTTGCTGGGATCTGGTGCCCTGCCCCCACCCGGTGCGGCTCTCCTCACGGACAAACAAGCCCTGGTGGTGTGGCCAGGCCAGCTCTGCAGCCAGACAGGCTGGCCCTGTCACCATCACCAACCTACCGGCCGGCGCTGAGCCAGCACCCGGCCTCTCCGGGCTCGGCCTTGGGCCGTGTGCCCTTCTTTCTCCCCCTGGAGCTGCAAAGCTGTCACCTTGAAACTCCCCCAGCTCCCAGCTCCAGGGGAATTGTGAGGCCAGCTCTGAGACCTGAACATAGGTGGCTGGGGGCTCAGCCTCTGAGGGCAGGTTTTGCAGAACCCATTGTTAATTCTCAGGATTCTGTTGGGGGTGGACAAAAATCTAATTTGTGAGTATTCTTTTCGGTGCCTAGGAGAAGGGACAGATGGCATTTCTCCTCTGCAGCCACGGTCGCCTTTCCTTGGTGCTGCTGACTGGCGTAAGAGTGGCTGCTGGATTTGGTGGCCGTTTTCAAGGCATTTTATTCTGCCTTTGGCCTCAGACTGAGGCAGCAGCCCTCTTGGCGTGGTTGGCAAGCACTTTGGTGTGTACCTGTACGGTGGGTTGTCCACACTAGCTTCGCATGGTTTGGGAAGGGGGAATGGCTTCCTCTCCACAGCCCTTCCTCTCCCCCAGCCTGCTCCCCTGGAACATTCTGTGTGCGTTTGGGTGTGTGTATGTGTGTGTGTGCGCGCAGACACCTGTCTGTCTGCATGGAATACTGCTACAGGGCTGCCTAATTCCTAACCTGGCACCCACCTCATTGGAAGGAAAGGGGGGGCACCCCAGAGCCTGTTGAGGCTCTGGATCTAAGAGACAAGGGAGGGCTTTTCCTTAGAACCTGTGACTTCACAAACTCCCTGTCACTGCAGTTTTTTTTTTCCTCTTTCTTTCTTTCTTTTTTTTTTTTTGAAGCTTCTAAGGATGCGTTGTGGTGTCCTCTGGTGAAGTGATATTTAGGAAGGTGGCTTTGAAAGTTGCAGGGCCGCTGCTTGAACAGGAGCTGAGCTATTGAACAAGCTGCTACCATTTTAGCTTCAATGCAGGAATGAGACAGTGGTGCCAGACGCCATTTTAAGAATCCTGCATAAATAGCTTAGCCACCGAAGACTGCCTGGGGTAGGTGAGTGCTGTCTCAGGCTGGCTCTGCCAGCCATCCCCTCCCCCAACTCTGAGGACAATTAATTGCAGATTGAGAGAAGCATGGGTTTTTATTTCGATGGTCACTATTTTGTGATCTAGAAGAGGAAGATGCTCCTACCTTGGTGATGAACTGTTTCTTACAGCCTGGACCATTTTGGTATTTTGGATGAAAGTTAAAAAAAAAAAGAGCAGGAAAAGTCTTTTTGAATTCTGCATGCTTCCTGAATTACTGTAATAATTTTCTGAGCAGCAGTCTCTTGTGCATGCATGCATGCTGGTTGTATATTCTACATGGGTTAGAGATTCTTGGTTAAAAGTCACAGAGTGAGAGCACTTGGGGAAAAGAAATATCTGAGTATTGTGTAGCCAGGCTTTTTTTTTTCTCCTGTCCAAACTGGATGCTTTCTGTCTTTTTGGAAGTGTTGAAGGGACGAGTTTCAGAGTCCTCAGAATTAATAATCAGAAGGCTTAAAGCATCTTGGAGGTGGTGCTCAGCTCATCTACAACTTTTAATTGCTTTTTCTTTTTCTTCTTTCTCCCAGTGCTGGAGGCTTAAGAAGTAAAGCCTAGGCTTTTTTGCTCAGGCACCATTCTTTTCTGGAGAGGGGAAGGGGATGGTCTTGGTTATGTTCACAGGTGCTGTTATTTCTCCTTTGAATTGCCTGAAAATTGTCAGTTTTGTGAAATCCCCAGGCAAGTAAATGGATGCTGGAGATGAAGGAGGTGGTGGTGGTGGTTTACAGTGTGTGTTAACTAGTTGGAGGTGGCTTTTCCTTTTGGGATGAGAGGTTGCTGTTTGGTTTTCAGCTAATTTCACCACTTCCTTTCGTGGGACTGTAGTCTAACTCTTAACAGACCTTTAAAAAAAAAAAAGTAATGTTAGTTTGAATCAAGAAGTAGTTCTTTTGTTTTTTGGTGTAAATGATCTGGGTTGATAGAAGCTACCATCCACATATATATATATATATATATGTGTGTATATATACACATATATATATGAATATGAGAGAGGAAGAACTGTGTATTTTTTTCTAAGACTTGAATGTGTTTATGGCAGAAGTTCAAAGTGTTTGCTCCAGATGCCGCTGCCTTTTCTTTGAAAAAGAATTGTTTTTTTTTTTCGTTCTTTTTCCAAATGTTTCAACAGCTCTTAAACTTAAATTGGCCAAGATCTGTAGGCCTATTCAGTCAGGTATAAAATATTTTCTCACCACTACTTTTGATGGACTATTCACAGTTGTTCCCCCTGCCTCCTAACAAACTAGTACTTAACATTAAACCAAAAAAGAAAAAAAAAACCCACCTGAGCTCAGTGGTGTAGAAAAAAGGAAGTCCCTTTAGATGTGGTTATTCCAAATGACTCATTTTGCATTTTCAGCTTTGATTTTCATACATGAAGACCTCCTACCCCTCCTCATCCTGTTAATGCTTAGACTTTGCAATTTTCTTTAGTCAAACACAAGTTGTGTGTGTGTATGTATGTTTGTGCACACGTGCACACCACATATGTGTGCATGTCTATTCCCAGGTTCCTTTTGAAAAGGATGCTAGTAGTCTGTGTGTGTGTGGGGGTGGTTGGAGATAGTTGTCTGAAATTGCCGTGTTTGAAATCCTGGGATCAAGGGGGTGGTGATGTTGCTCAAGTTAGGTGATTATGGTGCCTATTTCAGAAAGATAAAAGCACTTTTAACTTTGTTCCCCCTTCTGCTGCAGAATAGATTAACTGAAGCCCAGTAGCAAGCAGGCATTCCTAGTTTGCATGTTCTTCACCTCTCTGCAGCTTTCCTGCCTGAAGTATTGAGCTCCTTTAGGTTGTCACTAGCTTTGTTCTCATTGCATGCATTGGTTCTTAGTACTCCATACACCTTCGGATGTTTACAGCCCAGCCAAAAAGGAAAAAAAAATCCAATTGGGATTTGGGGGGGAGTGGGTGGGCTGTTTACATCATTGTTTCTTTTAACCTTGTCTGTACAGTTGGAGCACCTACTAGCCTTTCCTCATCACTTAAAATGTGAGTGGTTTCAAAAAGTTGAGCATTTCACCCTCTTCCTGCTAGACAAGGTAACAAAATTGTGGCTGGGAAAAAGCCCAAGGTTGCTATGTGTACCCTCTGATAGTAACCAGTCTGCCCATCTCTGAATGCTATACAAGGCTTTCAAAAGTAAAATGGGTTTCTAATCACCCCCAAGCAAGAACGTCATCACCAGGGTCCAGTTAGATGTGTGTGTGTGTGTGTGTGTGTGTGTGTGTGTGTGTCTGGAGGAATGTGTTTGAAGTTGAAGTGGGGAGTAATTGCTGTCTTCTGTTAAGCCATTTTGTGACTAGTCAGTTGTTTGTTTTTCTCATTTGTGTCATCGGTCACCCTACAGATGCTGGTTAAATGAAACTGTTAATGGGGTCCAACAACAGTGTTCAAGGTGTTAACATCCTGATTTAAGTCCAAACTACCCTCCTTCCTTCCTTTTTTTTTTTCCCCCTCTACCGGGACTAGGTAAGTCAGAGGACTCCAGGCTCCTGTAATTGAATTCTGAGCTACATAATCTTTTCCTTTCTATCTAGCTCCCATCCTGAATTCTCTCCTCCCTGCAGACCTGGGATTCTCCTAAGCTCGTCTCCATCTTGCCGTGGGGTTTCAGTCCTGAGGCTGCCTTTCCCGAGTCGTCTCTTTGCCTGGTCACTGGCTCAGACCACGGAACACAGACAGGACATTCTCCAGCCTTCTTCCTGTCCTGCCTCTCAGTCTTCCAAATGGAAAATTCCAGCCATATCAATTGGTGATCATCTCTTTCTTCTTGTCGAAAACCTTGGGCGGTTGGAAGTGAATCTAGAGTGATCATTCAGATTCTTACCCCGATGGTGTCAGCCTCTTGTCTAGAACATTCTAGTATCTCAAATTACACCTATCAAAGAAAGCGCAATGAGCACTTCCAATGGGGAGGAAGATCTAAAATGGCCTGCGCTCTCTGTCCAGCCTGAGTTCCAGTAGACAGAGAAAAGAATGAAAGAAGGGCCTGGGTGCCATACGTTCCCAGTTTAGGAGACTGCTCCTCCCTCCCCTTTTCCATCCCTTCCCCAGCCCTCCTTTCCCAGCCTGGGTCTTTAAATAATGCTTCCTCATTCCACATTTGTGGTGAGGGGTAATTAGTCTCAGCTCCAAAGCAAACCATGTCTGCTATCCAGGGAGTGAAAGCAAAGGAGAGGGAAGGGGGGGGGAGAGTGGGTATCCCCCATCTTAATTCCTGGTAGTTTGGATTGTTTTGAGACCAGCTCTTTTGCTACTATTGGTAGGCACATTTTTCTACTTTGTAACTTAACCTGTATCTTTATTCATGTTCCTGCCTCTTTAGAGGAGGTAGATGATTTCGTTTGGGGGTGCAGGGAGGCTGGAGGTCTGGGAAATCCTGTTTGCTTGGCAGAACTCCGGGTGCCCTGGGAAAACCTCTAACCTGACTGTCTTTTGGAGCCAGGTGTTAGCTTTGAGAAACTTGTTTATTTGAAGACTTGTTTCTCAGGGCCCAAGGGGGTGGTGGGGAAATTGCAATTGTGTATCTAAAAAACTAGGCTTTTTTTTTTTTTTTGGTTGTGCCCCCTCCCCAATAGCATGACAATTGAAATGGTAATTGGACTTAAAAACAAAAAGGCATAGAACCTACTGTTTTCCTGAAGTCCTTTAAGGAGTCAAGCTTTGTTGAGATCAGGAGTCTTCCTTTCCCCTCCCCTGAATAACTAACATTGGGGGTTGTCTTAAAGGAGGTGGGTTTGTGGTTATTTGTTCCCCCCTCTAATCCTCCCCCCCCCAGGATAGCTGGTACAGTGGGGCCAGTTCCCAGCCTACCCTAAACATCAGCATCATTTGTTCTCTTCCAGTTTGGCTGAGGAGGAAATAAAAACAGAACCGGAGGTGGTGGTGGAAGGCATGGATGTCTCCACACGATCTAAAGGTGAGTGGGCCAAGTGGGCCGTCCGTCCGTAGGTCCGGTCCGTCCGTCCCTCCCTTGTGCTGAACCTTTCTTTTGTTGTATCTCTCTGATCTGGCCGAGTCACGTGTTGGTTTCGTTGTGGGTTGTAGATCATTTAATGGATGAACCTCATTTCTGCAGGGAGCTTTTGTTATCCCCCACCCCCCCTTTCCCTGGTGTGTCTGTGTAGGAGTTCAGGCTTGTTGGGAATTGCCCCTGACAGTAAATTTTCTTAGTGTGTCCGGCTGGCCACCGCCTCCCCAGGGTGATTCCTTTAGGGATTAGAATGTAAATGCAGTTCTTTCTGGAAGGCGCTTCAGTCTTCAGCTGCTGGTGGCTTCCTGATTTTAATCTGGCCACTTTGGAGAATCAGAAGCTGGATGAAGAGGGTCCGCGAGGGAAGCATGGGCTTGCTGAAGTGCCAGGGGGCTGCCTTAGCTTTTAAGGCAGAATGTAACAAATGTAGCAAATCTGGGTTTGCTCAAGTGTCCACAGTTGTCCTAGCTTGGTTGAGAGACTCCTGGGCCTCCTTTCCACAGGAGAACATTTAACTCGCTTGCCTTTGGCGCTGTGAGCCCCTGGCACACAAGCCTGCTTCCCCATCTTTATGCTTTCCTATCATTGGCTGAATGGAAAATGCTCATCTCCAGACTGAGTGGAGTGGTGGGGCTGGGGGAAGTAGGAGGATAGAGACAGATCTTTCTAGAAGGAAGTTTTCCAGAAAGTGACTTCCTAAAGGCATTTGCAGAGTGGTCTTGTGGATGATCCTGAAGATCCCCACATTGAAATTGTTGCTGTACTGGGGGATTACACTCAGGACCTGGGCGCTGTCCCTGAGCTTGTCTGCTCAAGGCTGGCACTCTACGCTTGAGCTGCAGCTCTACTTGTGGCTTTCGGTATGACTCATTAGAGATAAGAGTCTCATGGACGGTCCGGGTGGCTTTGGATTGCCATCCTCAGGTTTCAGCCTCTTGAGTCGTGATGAAAAGCATGAGCCACTAGCTCCTGGCCTTTCTGAGACGGCTTGTCCCTTGTGGCCCTGCTGAGGGGTCAGATGGTCAGGGATGTCCTCGCTGGGGAAGAACGAAGAACAGGGTGACACAACTGCCCCGTCTCCCCTCCCCCACCCCTCAGCACAGCTGTCACAGCAGGTCATCACGGGAACCACCCCAGGGACCTGGAGCAGGAGGCACCTCGAGCCCACAGCCCCCCTTGCTGTGCTAGGGTGGAAGAGTGGGTGATGCGGTGGCCTATGTTGGAGGGCCAGCCCAGAGCAGTGGGTGCTGGGGGGGGGGCCCACCCGCTTCATCCTTTCCCCTACCGCTGCTCTCTGTCTCTGCCCCTCCCTGTTCTCATCTGAGACCCTGGGCTGGAGGGCTTGGATTTGCTCTGTGTAGGTTTCCTTACAAAAGGGATGGTTCCAGAGTTTCCAAAGGCTGGCACTCACATCACCTTGATGAGTCACTCCAGAGATGGAAGCAAATAGGCCCCCCCCCCCATGGATGAAGAAACCGGAGGCTCCAGGGGTCTCAGGGGTGTGCAGTTCCAGAGCAGGACGGAATGGAGGCTGCCTCCAAAGCAGAGCCTCCTTCCTGCACTTGTCCTGTAGCCCACCCCACATCAGAGACCTCTCCAAAGGGGGCAGGAGGAACTGCTAGGGACAGTCATACAGGATGGGATGCTGCCTGCTGCCTGCTTATCAGCTTGTGAGCTGCCCTACTCTGCCGTCCTCTGCTGTGCGTGTGTGTGCGTGTACGAACATGCATGTTGGCACTCAGGCTTGAATATAGGTCCTGGGCACTGTTCATTAGCTTTTTCATTTAAGCCTGGAGCTTTCTTACTTGAGCCACAGCTCCACTTTGGCTTTTTGCCAGTTAACTGGAGATAAGAGTCTCCTAGACTTTTCCTGCCAGGGCTGGCTTTGAACTGTTTGTCTTTAGAGCTCAGCCTCCTGAGTAGTGCCTGAGTTGTCATTATGTGGCATTCCCTCTGCTGTGCCAAGTGTGAACCCTAGGTGACCATTCATGGTCTCTTTTTCCCATCCTGTCCCCTTCTCTGCCTCTTCCCACCGCCCCCCAAACTGCCAGGATCTTCTCTCAGAAAGCATTATTTCCTTCCCCTGCAGCCCCTCTGACCTTCCAGCGCCCTCAGCTTATCCGAGGTCACTGTGTCCTGCCTTGCTGGATGTCACTCCTCTGTGACATTCTGCTCTCCTGTGTCATTTCTTCCCAGCTCCACCTCTCCGCTTTCTGCTTCTTTCTTTGGAGCCCATATGTCCTTTGTCCTATATGTGGTTCCTGGTCCTAGTGTCCTGTGCCACACTGCTCAGGGCCATTGTACTTGTCATCATGCACAGTACCTCAGGTGGCCTCATCTGATGGAATCATTCTGCCATTTTCTGTTGCTTTTTTTTTCCTGGTCCTGGGGCTCAAACTCTGTCCCTGAACCCCTTTTTGCTCAAAGCCAGTGCTCTACCACTTGAGCCACAGTGCCACTTCTAGCTTTTTTTCTGTGATTTTTAATCAAAGATTCTCACAGACTTTCCTGCCCGGGCTGAGTTCAAACTGTGATGCTCAGATCTCAGCCTCCTGAGATAGCTAGGATTACAGGCATGAGCCACTGGTGCTTGGCTTCTGTTACTCTTAACTGTACACACACACACATTTTGTTGTCATCATCCATTGTGTGGGTGGACTCACCAATTCTGAATCAACGTTGGTACATGATTGCCAACTAAAGCCCATGCTTCATTTAGACCTCTGCTTTTCCCACTCAGGTCCCGTTTCTAGGCTGGAATCCCACCAGTGCAACTATTGCATGTAGTTGTCATGGCTGCTTAGCTTCCCCGTGGCTGCAGTGGTTCCTCAGGCTTCTCTTTCTGTGACCTTGGCAGTTGAGTCTGGTTCAGGTCTTTCATGGGTTTCAAAGGTTAGACTATGGCTGACAAGGTTACTGAGGTAAACCGAGTGCCCTTTGCGTCACAAATCAAGGGCAGTGTTAGAGTGACCATAGAGGGGTGGTGGTTCCTGTTGACCTTCACCGTGGCAGTTTGATCTTGACCTTGACCTTGACTGTGGTAGTTCTTCTCTTTCCAGCCTGCCTCCTTGGGGAGGTACACTGTGCTGCAGACGTGCGGGAAGAGCAGCTGCAGACTTCCCTCTATACAGGGGATTTGCTGCTTCTCCCATACTTAGTTAATCCTTCAGATTTTAGTATAGACTCAAGATGAATTTTTTTTTAATATGCCGGGTTATAATTTGGCAGGGGGGCTGTTTGTGTTGGTTCTGGTGTTTTGTGGACAGCATCCTGGCCCTGAGTTTAAGCCCTGGTATCAGCACAAAGTTAAATTTTTTTTTTTAAATAAAAGCTTGCTCACTCAGGCTGCTCAGCATGGGGTCTGGGAACGTGAGCACAGGGATGGTTAGGAGGGACAGGTTCTCCTGGTAGGTCTGCCCCCCTCTTAGCCTGAGCCAAGGGCCTAGCAGGGTACCGGGCAGGGTGGGCATGCAGGAAGATACACGTTCCTGTGGACTGCTTTGCTGTTTTCCTGTCCTGCCAGCCTTCGTAGCATTGTGGGAATGCCATGTGGCAGCAGTTGGAAGAATTGCTCAGGGCCTTGTGTTATTGGGGAACCCGTGAGAGAAGGGGCTGCCAGCTTTGGAGGGGGCATTACCCCCAGGAACCCTAGGATGGCCTTGAGCCTCTCTCCCAGGGAGGCCGCATGTGTAGTCTCTCCTTTCTGACTGGTGGAGCCTCTTGGGCTGAGGGGAAGCCTGAGCTGGAAGATTCTGGGGTAGCTGAGGTTCCCAGGACTGAAGTCTGGGCCGTGCGATGTGGCCTTGGTGAAGGTGGTCTGGGATGGAGGGCTGTCTTCTCTCAAAGCTCACAGAGTGATGAGGATTTGGGCGCAGTGAATCCTTCTTCCTCCTCTGGCCTACTTCTCTGTGGTTAGGAAAGTTCAGGGCTTCAGTGCCCAGATGACAGTCCTGAGCAGCTATGGTTCATGTGGGTGGGAGCTGGATGGATTAGGAGAAAGGTGGTTGGCTCAGGGCCGGACTGGAGGTGGGAGGTGTGGGCTGCCCTCCTTAGGAACAGCAGGGCACAGTCCATCGCTCCGGTGTCTGCCCTCTGTCTAAGGAAGGGCTGGTGTCTAGACACTTGGATCTGGACACTTAACAGTACCCCCACAGCAGGGAGTGTAGGTAGGGCCCTCAAAAGGATACAGATTAGAGTGTTGGCACCTCAGGAAACAGGCAACACTGTTGTGTACTTGAGTCGAACAGTCCTGAGCTCTGCTCTTGTAACAGACTCTGACCATTGGAGTTAGAGGTATGGCTCAGATGGCCCTGAGTTAAAAGCTCAATAAGTTCCTTTTACCCCCAAACAGAAACTCTGACAAGAATTGGTATAGAATTCATTTTTTATGTAGTTTTAGTTGGTTATGGGGCTTGAACTCAAGGCCTGGGTGCTGTTCTTGAGCTTTTGTACTCAAGGCTAACATTCTACCACTTGGACCCAAAGCTCCACTTCTGGTTTTTTGGAGGTTAATTGGAGAGAAGGGTTTCATGGACTTTCCTGCCTGGGGCTGACTTTGAACCTTGATCCTCAGATCTCAGCCTCCCTGAGTAGCTAGGATTACAGGCATGAGCCATGAGCACCTGGCTTCATTTTTTGTTGTTTTTGTTTTTGTGATAGTGGTGAAAACTTGAGCTTAGGGCTAGATATATGTTAGACAAGTGAAATTCCCAGCCCAGAATGACCTTACTTTTTTAACTTAAAGATTTTTTTTTTTTTAGTTAATATCTTGCTGTGTGGTTCAGGCTTTTCTTCAATTTCATGGTTAAAGGGATCCTCCCATCCCAGCCTCCTGGATGTCTTGACTTATAGGTGTGCATCACTGCACTGGACCTAGAATTCTTTAATCACATTCTGACATCTAGTTCACAACAGCCTTTCAGATTCTCTAACCAAATTTCAGTTTG